CCTTGTCCAATTGCTACCAGATATAAAGAGAAGAAGAATAAGATTACTTGGAAATTATTTCCAGAGCTGACAGAAGGTAACATAGCCGATAGAGTCAACAATCCCAGCCCCTGCAGATTGGAAAAGAGTACTAACATGAATTTTTCTATAGAAATTAAAATAAAAGAAGATCTCCTATTTTATTAGAGATGTTTAAATGGTCAATTGGTTGGCAAAATTTGAAATTATATGACTATATATACTGTAGCACAACATGTGCAGGAGATGTCTATGATTTAGTATTTGTATTAAGATTATAATAATTAATAAAATGACCTATTAAATATCTCTATATATCTCAACTCAACAAAATAAAATAAAGATAAAGTCGAGGCACTTTAAATTTTAAACTTCAAAGTGAGAGAGAAACTAACCAAGATGTATATAGCAGAAGCAATGACAATAGTCCGGTAACGTCCAAGAAAAGAATCAGCAACAAAAGCTCCTAAAAGAGGCAGCAACGACGCTGTGCCTGACCAGATGTTGACGTTCTTTGCCGCAGTTGCCGTGGACTGACCCAGAGGTCCAGTCAAATAGGTAATAAGGTTGGAGCCAATTCCATAATAAGCGAACCTCTCAGCCATTTCAACACCAATAATGAAGCACGCTGATCTCCACCCACCAGAGCTGGCTCTGTTCACTGGACGGCCTTTGTAGTCAATGCATCCATAAACGGTGGCTTGTTCGAGAAAGGTTTCTGTATTACAAGAGAGATTGGAGATGGTCATATCTTTTGGTTTCGTTTGTCAAAGTAATTTTTGTGGACTTTGATGAATACATGTTGATGTATTAATATACAATTAATCATGTTGATCTAGTATTTGTTTAATTATTACTATTATATTATTACGTTATGCAACTTCACTTTAGTATGTGACTATTAAACTATTTATAAAATCTGCTCATATTGCTGTCTATCTTGTGTTTGATCGGCCCACATTGCAAATTTCAAACAATTGTCTTATTCACCTAATCAGATTTGCAAAATATTAGAAAATATTTATTTTTTTAAATATGTAGTACATCTTTGTTGAAAATATTCCAAAAACATGCACTTTTTTAATATAAAACCAATTCTTTTTTTCTTTTTTTTTTTCATGCTTCATTATATTTAATGTAGAAAACACCGAATAAATAGAAAAGATTGAGACATTATTTCCTTTTAGAGGATAAAAGAACCTTAGAAGAAGATCTTAATACTGTGATATGACTCTTATTCTAAAAGAATTATTCCCCAGATACTTCAGCAAAACTCTTTCTCTATTTTTGCCCATCCCATTAAAAATAGCACATCCAAATTTTGTATCCAGTTCATGCATGTTATTTGATAGTCATCTTATAATCATATTTGATTATAGGATTGAAATAAAATTCTTATTTCTTCCTATACTTTTTCTTTATAATTTTATTTACCCTATTATCTTTTTAATTTGTTTGTTGAGGAGCCTGGTTCAAAACTTGTTATATGATAGTGGGTCAGACGTAAGAATTAACTTTAGAGGGGTAAATTTAAAATAATATAATATAAAATAGGAGAAAAGTACCTAAGTTGAGTCAAATATAGAAACGTTAATAAAAAAAAAAAATGGATTCAAAAAAAAAAAAAAAAAAAAAAAAAAAAAAAAAAAAAAAAAAAAAAAAAAAAAAAAAAAAAAAAGCTAAACTAAACTAAACCAAAATAACGAAAACAAGGACTGGGGTCCTAGCAGTCACGCATCAATAGTTGGGTCCATACATGGTACTTGTTACTATATTTGATTTTGTGACTCTAGTGAAATTCATAAACGATAAATCTTGAAATAACATCAAACCTTTGGGGTGAATAACTGGACATCTAATTAAATGTGTTAAAAATGTGATGCTGAATTTATAAAACTTTTTTATTGAAAATCCGGTTATAATTTAAATCTTGATTCCCAATTCTTGACATTTTGTAATATTTTATTAACTATTTCAAATGCTTTTTTTATATTTATAAAGTTTTCAAACTTATTTCAAATTAAGAAAGGGTTGATTTAAATAATTTTCTCATAAATCATAAAAGCTCATGCGTAATTAAGTGATTTAAAAATGTGAGGTAATACTCAAATTAGTATGTACTGTATATAAGAAAATTATAAATAAATATAATTTTAATATTAAAATAGAATATGAATATAACGTAATTTAATATAAAATTAAAATTAAAAGAATAAAAAGGACACAAGAATGGACAGTGTCAAACACAAGCCAACTTGAGTATGTTTTGGCGAGTAATGTTATGTGTATTAACTAATTTGTATTAATCTAAGTATTAATATTGAAAACTTAAATTTTTTTTTAGGGAAATTTCAAATTTTCAATGTTAGTATTTAGATTAGTACAAAATGGTTAGTACACGTGATATTATTGGTGCTTTAACAAGGTCCGATGGGTTGAAATCTCAAGCTCAACCTAGCTCAGGCTGATTTGGGTTCATGTTCATGTCGTGCTATAGGAAAAATAATACAGTCATCGAAAGTAGTACACCGAATGACGTAGTAAAATCCTGACCGTTGATTAATTTTAACTTAATTTTAATCAACGATCAGAATTTTATCACGTTATTTGATGTATAAATTCGATGCACTATGATCGGTGGCTGTAGCATTACTCCGTGCTGTAGTGGTGTTGTCAAATTATTGTTATTTGCCACACTGAGTGTCAGATTCATGAGAATTTCCTCCACTTAAAAAATTAGCTGTTGAATTGATAACTCAAACTTCACTTCCTCCCTTATAAGAGTAACTTCTCCTGCACACCTCAATAGTGACTCCAACGGCTCTTTTCTTCTTCTCCTAACCAAAACCCAAACAAACCCTATTCTTCCCCAATTTGAATCGGTGAAATATAGAAACCCCTGCTCTCATTCGTGAGATTCTTGATGCGAATTTGGGTAGGCAGTTGCATGGTCAGACGATTTTGGTCGGGGATTTGTGTCTCATCTATATGTCGGTAATACCTTGATTGGTATGTATGCATAATGCGGGTTTTTAGATTGTGGGTGTAAGTTGTTTGATGAAATGCCTGAGAAAGACGTGATTTCTTGGACTGAGTTGATTGTTGCATATATCAAGAGCGGAGATATGAAATCTGCTAGTGTATTGTTTGATGGGTTGCCTTTAAAGGATACGGTGGCCTGGACTGCGATGGCCACTGGTTACATTTATCGGAGTGCTTACAGCATGTAGCCATGTGGGATTGGTAGAACAAGGCCGGCAGCTATTTGCTAGTATGGAGAAATGATATTCATATGATGAATATCACCATCTTTGTGACTTTTTTTCTGGCTTTGTCTGTTCCCAGGTCTGCAGTGCACAACATCTTAGTTGGTCAATAGAGATACTCTGTAAGACTTAAACCTTCTTTCTCCTTTTAGTATTTTTTCCAAGGTTGTAATTGGAGGCATTGGAGGCTCTACACCCATTACTTTGATGATATACTTGCTAAAAGAATGCTATGTGAAAAATATCTCCATGTTTATGATCTTTCTTCTTGCTTATTTGCTTAGCCAACTTTAATTTATGTCTTCATTAGCTCATTTTCTGATGTGGGTCTAGTGGGTTTTTAATAGTTTGTTTACTAGTTTGTTGCTGGATGACGGCTGGGTGTTCTGCAGTGTTTATAGTTGCTTTTGTGTACCTTTTTTTTTTTTTTGTGATATGTTTGTGTATTCTGCTAATGCTCGACTTGTTTCAGGGTGTCAATAAACTTTTAAGATTTAATGAAATGTTTTTTGATTGTTTGGGTAGAGCAATTCACATAAATGCTTGGTATCTTTGATTGAAAGTGGATATGGTTTGTGGTTTCACTGGCTTAATTTAGTGAAGCTATGTGACATGTTCTGCTAATCGTCAACATGGTTCTCTGGTTCATGAACTTTCTGTGTATATGTTTCCTAGAGCATCTGGGATTGCTTTTATCTTCGAATCATTTTAGACTTGGACTTCTTTTATGGCTTTTCTTGTATTTTTTGGGGGCTGCTTCAATTCCTTAGATCTCATATCTTTTGTATGTAATTTTATTAGAATCCTTATATGACAACCCTATTGTTTTGGAGAATGTAAGATTGAATTCCCCTCGAACCATAGTTGGCACTTTAATAAGATGATGATTGTTTGAACTGAAAACCCCTTACAAATTTGTTCTAATCTTGCAAATCCTCATTTCTTTTAGAAATTGGTTGTTGTCTTGTCACTTTGCTTCCCTAATTGACATATTTCACTAGAATGATAGGCTAATATGCACTTTTTTTCAGATTCGTTCGGAGTATATTTCTATAGTTTATGTATATGGTTAATTGACAATTCCCTGTTAGAACTTCTCCAAATTATGCTCAATCTACTCTGGCTGGCATTAAAACTGTAGAGGTGGTCGAATGCAGTTTTGATATGAAAATTTTAACAGAAAACAGAGCAATTCCATTTTATGAGTCAAGAAAAAGACCAAGTCTGATACGAGAAAGCAAGTGAAATATCGAGTTTTGAAGGCTACAACTTTTTTGCATTCTCTATGGCAAGATATGATATATCATATTAGATACAATTCTTCTCCTAAATCTGTAAATGGGTGTACATCAATCATTTTTTTTTTCCAGGATTATACATTAATCATCTAATATCTTCTTATTGGTGTACTTGAGATACATATCCTCCAGCATCTAATAGACATTATATGAATTGAATTAAACTGATCACTCATCTTAAAATTAGTACTCATTTTTGTGCAGATATTTACTTGTAGCATACCAAATCTTAATTGTATTAAATCAAGCCACAAAAAAAAAAAAAAAAAAAAAAAAAAAAAAAAAAAAAAAAAAAAAATAATAATAATAATAATAATAATAAAAAAAAATGCTGAATATGAAGTGTAAAAAGTAACTCCGTTGACGAGAAAATAAAATTATTTAAGGTAATTTGTTTTTCTTCTGAATATAAACATATTTAGCCACCGCTTATCGGAGGGATAATGGCCAATTCATCTTTGTCTTTAACAATAATTGAGTCATTTGCATATTCCTCGTTTAAAGCAAGAACTACGCAGCCACGGATCTCTTCCAAGCTTGGAAACTTTGCAACAAGGTCGTATTATACGCGAATTGTACGGATAGCCATATAATTTGCGTATAAAACGCACTTATACGTATTTTATAAAATCTGTCGTATAATTCGCGTATAATAAGGCTTCTCGTATAATTCGCGAATTATTGAAAAAAAAAAAAAAAAAACAAATCTCACCCTCCAAACGACGTCGTTTTAGTGGGTTTTTACTAAAAATTAAAACAGATCTCTCTTCTTTGGTTCTTCTTCAGTTCTTCACTTTTTCTTTCTCAGTTCGGTTCTTCTTCTTCCTCAGTTCTTCTTCAGCTTTTCTTCCTCAGTTCTTCACAAATTTTCATAAGCAATCAACTCCCACAATCAACACACAACAATCAACTCCAGCAAACAAGCTATCAACTCCCACAACCGACTCCAACAAACAAATTTCGATAAGACAGTTGCTCAGGCAACAGAGACGATTGCATAGTCACAAATCGGGCTACAGAGTGGCGAGGCTGAGGACATCGACGAACCCAATCATGTGAACGAATCACAAGCACAAAACACAAAACCCAAGAACGGTGTGAGGGGGCGCAGATCTTGGCCACACGCAGTGGCCAACTGTGGTCAGTCGTCAGTCGGCAAGAAATGCAAAGGGAGAATAGAAGAAACAGAAAAAAAGGGAGGGAAGAGAAACAAAATAGACATAAGTTTATACAAAAGAGACGAAGGTTTAAGAAGGAAGTGAAGAGAAGGTGGAGAAAACAAAGAGAAAGAAGAGAAGAAACTAACAGAAGAAAGAGAGAAGAAAGTTTTGAAAAGAACGAGAAAATGAAAGAGAAGAGAAAGGAGGGAGAAAATTAAATAAAATATATAATTTTACATGGTACATTTGTAATTTTTGTAAACTGACTACAGGGTGTGTTTGTAATTTTTGTAAACAATTGGTTTTGTTACGAGTGTTTGATTTGACACTATAGTTGAATCTTGGCTAAATATTGTGTTTGAGTCTTGTGTTTGAGTCTGAAGACTATAATTTGAATATCAGTTATATTTATATATTGTGTATTTGTATTATTGGTTAATTGAATACTTTGCATTTGAAATGTTATATTGATTTTAACCAGGTAGTCCATAAAAGTGTTAAAACTAAGATTGATATTGCCGTATTTTTCAAAACATATTATTGATAATATGCCGTATTAAATCCGTATATACTCGTACAGTATTTTTCCTGTATCCAAATTTTATGACCGAATTTTTATAAAAGTATTTTTTACCGTTTGCCGTATTATACTTATAAAATTTCCGCACACTTTTTTTGCCGTACCTGTATTTACTAACTAGATATGATACTTCCAGTGGCAAATCACTTAAACCGGTTAAATCTCGAGCTTTGGCAAAGAACAATACCTTTATTTGAACCGATGATTTGTTGTTCTCTACAGATATACAATCTGAATTCCCAGACTTGGTTTCTCTTTCCGTAGCATCCATAGTAGATACAGAAATGTGTCAATTAAAATGGAACTTCTCACTGCAACAATTATGCAACAATGTCAAATTCTAAACCGTGATAAAAATCAATATCAAGAAGCGACATAATTGCCAAGAGTTACATCAGAGAGAACAAGAATCAACTTAAGTTCTCTGAACAAATACTCCAGAGGGAAATCATTTGTAAACGGAAGTAATCAAATCAATCCAACATTGCCCCACAACTCACAAGTATAAGGCATTCAAAGATTCATCAAAGTCAAGTTTATATCCTATTCTTACAATGGTCGATTTTTAAATTCCCAGACAAAGCCCAACTAAAAAATGTTTCAAGTCCCAGAAGATAAAATCACTGTAACATGCTGCTAGAAGAACTTATTCCCCTTGATAAACTAGAATCTAAGTAGGTAATCTCACCCTAAAGACCTAACAAGAAAGATTGTTGCTAGCACTGTAATCATAATATCTGTGATGAGAGAGTGGATTTTAGGCTATGCCTTTCCCAACAAATAGAGCAAATAAGTTCCCGGTGGCAGAGCCACCTCATGCCTCAGATAAAAGATTACATGGTGTCAATTAAAACATATAACCTTACATATTTCATTTCCTAAGTTTTGGCACCTCCATTTACTTCATTTTACATCATTCCATATTGACCCCTATCTCAAACACTTACAGTCCCTGTATCAAATAATGTATACCTTTTCCATCACGTTGAGGTGAATGAAACCTGCATAAATTCAAAGTTAAACTCAGAATGTTACAACTGATATGGGTATGAAACTATCAAGAAACAAGTTCAAGACCACTCTGTTAATGTGTATCACTGTATTGTATATAGAGGTTTAGCATGAGCACACACTTCAGGAAACAAACAGAACCCAACATTCTATTCAAGAAACCATTCATGACGGCAATATAATCTCCCCTAACATCAGCAATATGCTTTTGCCCTTTTGCAACACAACTTAAATTTCAGAAATTAACCGAGTGAAATCTTTTCTTAACTGCAATTCAAAATAAGAAAGTGGTGAAACATCAACTACAAAGAGCCACAATTTTCCAGATAATCATATTGAGTTTCGGAAGTGCCTCTGAAAAATGCTTTCAAATAGTTAAAAGCTCAAAGCTCTACTGCAGTGTCTAGCTGAAACCGATAAAAATGCTTTTAAAAAAGTGCTTTTGGGAGAAGCACTAGATAATTCTCTATTTATCTTGTGGCAACAAACAGCTCTTAAAGAGTAAATTGAGTTTTAAAAAAAAACACTTAATAAACATTTTCAGAAAGGTACACTTAAGTGCTTTTATGAAAAGCACTTCTACTGAAAAAACACTTCCTTCAAAATCACTTTCAAACCCAGCTCCACAAAATTAACACAAAGCCAACTTTGAACATTTAAAAGCACTTCTGGCAGTTCCCAAAGCACTCCCAAGTCCAACACACACTATACTTTTGGCTCTCAATTAGCACAACCAGCATTCAAAAACAACACAACCTTAAATATTTCAGCTCCCACAAAAAGGAAGAAAAAAGTCGTTGCTCTAGATATCATATATGTCACTCATACCCAGAAAAAAAAAAAAAAAATTAAAACAGAAAAATAATATAATTCATGAATCAGTAAATTGAATAGTTACAAGCAATGAATCAGGATTATATTAATATACAGAAGTATAGAACCAAGTTTAACCCAAAAACCAGCAAACAAATTCAAAGAATAAAAAGCTATTGTAAGGGAGAGTTACCGGGAACCTGAAGAGAAGGTCGTGGGTGACACGGTGGAGCGTTCAGAGAAGAGGAAGAAGAAAATCAAGCGGCAAAATTGAAATAAGAATGTTTTGTGGATTTATTCTCAGAATTAAATCTTATTATTATTGGCTCCGTGTGGTTCACAATTTTGTGTTTTTGGAAAAAGTTAAAAAAAATTTGAATTGGACGGGTATTACGATGTAGGATTTATAAATTATAAAATACCTCCTATGTTTATTTTTTTACAAAACACCCCCTATAATAAAACATTAAAAGTTAACAAAAACACCCCCAACCCACCGTCAAATACGGACAGCCAGCCACCACCGTCGGAGGGTGGCCGGAGTCGTCGTATCAGTGCATGACCGACTGGATCTTGCCAGTTGTGCGCCGCTATGGCCTTTTCCGGCCAGATCTAGTCGTATTTGCTCGTCAACGACAGCCAACAAACGATAGTCGTTGATGGCCTTTTCCGGCCAGATCCTCAGATTCAGCCGGTAGTGCGCCATCCTACCAGATTCCGGTCATTTTCTAGCAGTGGCGGCCGGAATTTGGTAAATGTGGATTGTTGGGGTATTTTTATAATTTTTAAAAAAATATTTAGGGGTATTTAATTAAATTAACAAATTTAATGGGTTTAAAAAAAATTGAATAATATTATGAGTTTTTGGGTATTTTACTGTTTAACTTTTTTAGGAATACTAAAAGTAATATTCCCAAAAACCAACCAAACGAAGCCATTATTATTATTATTATTTTGAGGTCATTAATTAACAAAATGCTTCTTATTATAGTAAATTGAAGTTGAGCAAATTTGATTAGATTTTTAATTTTTTGCGTAAGAAATAGAAGAGGTATATCGAAATAAAAATGTAATTGTATTGGAGAATAAAATATTACGTGATAGTGTGTTAACGTATAAAATTAAAGTTTATAAGGATTTAATTATAATTTTTATATATTTAAGTTGATTGATGATGTGGATGTGCCAAGTAAGTCGTCACATCATTTGGGATACTATTTTTAGGATAAGAATTGGGAAAGGGTGGTATTATTGTTATTTTATTTAATAACTAAAAATATTATTTTCTATTTGAGTAAAAATTTTGACATCAGTCAATTGTCGGTCAACATTGATGGCACGGCAACAATTCTCGTCTGACACATCCACAATCTGCCAATCTAGGAAAATTTGGCAGTCAAAGGTCGGCGAAGTGACATCACATGGAACGACATATTATTCATGTTGCACACACATGATGTCACCTCCGGTATCTTTGACCATCAGAACTTGCCCAGACTGTTAGACTAGGGTTCTGCACTTGTCGACAATGACGTTGATAGGGTGTTTCCATCGATGATTGACAACCGATGACAATAACACGACCGTGGTTGTTGTTGGTGGTAGAGATTAAGGAGATATGTTAAAACAATAATTTCAGTTTTACAATATTTCAATTATTAATATAATAATAATAATAATAATTATTAAATTCTAAATCAGCTGTTTCAGAGAGAAATTGGAAAAAAAAAAAAAAAAATTAAAATAGGGGCAAAAAAGAATTTCAATAGTATTACTACTCTTGGCCTAAAAGAAATAGCATTCCCCCATTTTGGACTAAAGTAAACGGTGGAACGAGATTCCAGCGTCCATTCCACAAAAGTAAACATGCCCCTATTTTAATTTTTTTTTTAAAGGGGTCTTTTAACATCTATGAAAATCATGTGAAAACTTTCAAAAGTCATATGTGTATTTTTAAAATTAGAAAAAAAATATATGGAATTTTAATGAAATTTGATCTTATAAAAATGTAAATCATAAACATATGTAAATATCAAGAATGAAATTTTATGATTTACAATTTTCAAAAAAACTATTTTGTTCCTTCGTATTAACCTCTCTAAAATATCTAATCAGAAAACTTAAATATTTATTAATGGTTGATTATTACCTAAGCAAAGTAAGATCTTGTGCTGATGGTTGATTTTCTTTTCCTATCATTACGCCAGGTATATATTACTTTTCTTCTAGCTTAATTTCCATCATTAAGTCAGGTATCTTTTTCATATTTTAAATTTTTGTGTTGATCAAGAATGTAATTACTTTTATCTATTATAAATATGAGTAACATGATCTTACAATTACCCTCTTACAATCAATTTTTATTACCGAAACCAAGAACAAATGGCAGAAGGAATTGTATTTGGCATTGCAGGGAAAATCTTCAAAATGTTGGGGTCCTTGGCTGTTCGAGAAGGCAAATTGTCATGGGGTGTTAAAGATGAGATTCAAAAACTCTGTTATGCAATCAACTTATAAAGCAAACTAAACCAAACAAGAAATCAAGAAGAAAACAACAATCAACAATACAGAAACTTTTACCGTGGTTCACTTGCCCGATTAGAGCAAGCTACATCCACGTTGAACTCTGGAAATAGAGTTCGCTGCACTACGATTAAAGAACACCAGATTTACAGTCTCAATTACAAGAGAAAGACACTCCAAGAAACCCGGATCGAATAACACTTTCTGAACCCGTAATCTGCCCTAGGACTCCTCTAACCTGGAAATCCTATACCAAGAACACAGCAGTTCTTTCCCTTGACTGATTAACCCCAAATCACTCAAGAACCCACAGATTACACAGAAGAATCAGACCCAAAGAAAGAACCCTAGGTTTTTACAGAAAAACGAAGACTGCTCTCTCAAAATCGTTATTCGATCTACTGTTACAATATGAAACCCTAAACCTTTTATAGTGTTGACTTCAGGCAAGATCTCAGCCGTTGGCTTCCATTCTGAATTTGCGGTCAGGATCACTCATGGGCTGTCCCAAAAACGACGCCGTTCCATTTAACTCAATACGACGCCGTTTCAACATTCACTTCACAACAAACTCAGTACCACTGTCAACACTATCAGACTCGTACTATTCAATGCTGAGGAGCAGCACAACAGAAAGAACTATGCGGCGGTGACATATTGGATTCAAAGGCTCAAAGATGCATTTTATGAAGCTGATGACTTACTGGACGATTTCTCTACTTAACTTCAACAGCGAGAGGTAATGACTGGAAATAAAATGGCAGTGGAGGTATGCATCTTTTTCTCCAAATCTAATCAGAATTATATATAGTCTTAATATAGCTCATAAGATTAAGACAATTAGGGAGAAACTAGATGTGACTGAAAAAGACAAGGAGTTCGAACTTACTAAGAGTCTTGATGAAAAAAGAGTCATGAATATAGAAAGGGAAACACACTCTTTTGTACAACTTCTATTGGACTCAGACATTAATGAGAATGTTTCAGTCATCTCCATATTTGGATTTGGAGGATTAGGAAAGACTGCACTTGGTCAACTTGTATACAATGATGAGCATGTTACAAACTATATTCAATTAAGGATATGGGCGTGTGTATCTAATAACTTCAATTTGAAAATAATTGTGGAAAATATCATAAAATCTGCAACTGGTAGAAAAACTGGAGGACTTGAAATAGATCAATTGCAAGAATGCCTACGCAAAGAAATGATTAATGGGAAAAAATATTTACTAGATTTGGATGATATATGGAATGAAAATCCCATTATGTGGAACAAATTAAAAACTTTGTTAATGGGTGGTGAAAGAGGAAGTAAGATATTGGTAACTACAAGTAGTGAGCAGGTTGCTAGGATTACTAGCACACTTAACTCTTATGTCTATCCCTTGAAAGTGCTAGATGAAAACAAGTCTTGGTCTTTGTTCACGCAGATAGCCTTTGCAGATGGGATAAAGCCAAAAGATTCAAAACTAGTAGAGTTTGGAAAAGAGATTATGGCAAAGTGTGGAGGAGTTCCTCTTGTTATAATGACAATAGGACATTTACTTAGTGGCATTAATGAGGAAGATGATTGGTTGCATTTCAAGGACAATGAAATGTCAAAGGTGATTGAAAAAGAAAGCGATATTTTACCAATACTCAAGCTTAGTTATGATTATTTCCCCTCGCATTTGAATCAATGTTTCGCTTATTGTGTGTTGTTTCCCAAAGATTATAAGATTAAGGAGCAAAAGTGGATTTATCTTTGGATGGCGCAAGGGTTTCTTCAAGCATTAGATAAGAATGAACGCGTTGAAGAAGTTGGTAATAAGTATTTTACGACTTTACTTTTGAGGTCATTTTTCCAAGACCCAGAATATGATGAATGGGGCAATGTAGTTGCATGTAAGATGCATGATCTTTTGCGTGAACTTGCAAAATCAGTTGCAGGAACTGAATGCACCTTCACAACTATAGCCACAGATCAAAGTGTGGATGTTAAATGTCGTCATATATCACTTGATTGTGGGGATGTAAAAAAATCATGGAAATTTCCAATTGCATTATATGGTGCCAAAAATATAAGAAGTATACTTTTATTTTATCGATCAAATTGGAGATTTGACTTGGATGGTGGTTATGAAATTTTTTCAAGTTATAAGTACTTGCGAGCATTAGATTTTGGACAGTTAAGGTTTAAGAAGTTGTTGCATTCAAATGGTAAGCTAAAGAGTTTATTTAGTGAATTTGGGCATTTACGATATCTTAATTTTTCTTATATGCAAATTAAAAAACTTTTTGATTCGATATCGAGACTGTGGAATTTGGAAACGTTAGACCTCTCTCATTGTGACAATCTTAAGGAACTACCAAGAGATATTAGAAAAATGATGAACCGTAAGCATCTTATAAATAAAAAATGTGATTCTTTATGTGGAATGCCTTATGGGATAGGATGTCTGACTAATCTTCAGACTCTATCAATATTTGTAGCAAGTCAAAGAACTAGTAAACACAGTGGGATAGAAGAATTAAAGGGGTTAAACAACTTAAGAGGAAAACTAAAGATTAAAAATTTAAAGTACGAGGAAAATGGCAAGTTGGCCAACTTGGAAAGGAAAGCATATCTTTGGTCTCTAATATTGGATTGGGGGAGAAGTTCTAATGGAGAGGTTCAAAACACTGATGAAAATGTGTTAGAAGCTCTAAAGCCACACCCAAATCTTAAAAAATTTAATATAAGTTTATTTACAGGTGTGAAGCTATGTAATTGGCTATCCTCTCTCACAAAGCTAACTTCAATTAGCATAAAAGAATGTAAGAGAAGCCAATGTATCTCACCGTTGGATCAATTACCTCATTTGAGGAGTTTGTCTCTTGCATATCTAGATGTGGTGGAATATATTTCGGAGGAAGCAAGTACTAGTTATTCAACATTCTTCCCATCACTCAAGGAACTCGCAATCTATCATTGTCCTAAATTAGAGGGATGGTGGAGGAGGGATGTTGATAATGGAGCAGAGTTGCCTTCATTTCCTTGTCTTTCCAAATTAGATATCCAAACTTGCCTCAACTTGACGTTTATGCCGCTGTATCCATCTCTAGAAGAGCTAAAGTTGAGCGAGACGAGTTCAAAACCGCTGCAGCAGACGATGATGTTGATGAATAGAGTTTCTGCCACTCTCTCCAATTTAAAGTCTATGCATATGTTTAAAATTCCCGATATAGAATCTCTGTCGGTGGAAATGATGCAAAAGCTCACTTCTTTAGTGGATTTGAAAATTTTGTCATGTCCAAGACTCACTGATCAAATGGAACAAGCTATAAAATTTCTCCCCTCTCTCCGAAATCTGCTTATTAAACCCATTGAAGAACATGATCCGGATTGGAGAAATCTTCGGTGGGAGGTTATACCAAGAATAGTTGATTACAGTCGTTATGCAGAGGAGAATTCTGCATCAACAGGTTGAAACTTGTCTTCAAATTTAGCAATAAACTTTCCTGATTATGTATGACTTATTTCTTAATTACTTGAGTAAATAATTGTCTTTCGCTATATCTTTACTGATTTCTTACGGGTTCTGGAATTCTTACCTTTGTAATGCAGAGCATGGACGGAATGGTGGGGGGCAAACGTTTTGAAATTTGTAGTTAATTGGATGGTACGTATCTGTCCCCTTTGATTAGTTTCTTTTTATTCTTCCACTTTTGCAGTCATCTAACATAAAATGTCATGTCAATCTATTTTGATACTGACTTTTGAGGGGAAAAAAAAAAAAAATCTTGATTTAAGTTGTGTTTTTTGCAATGCAACGTCAACCTCCTCCTCATTTGGGTGTATTGGAAGTTTCAAGTCATGCAGCAGCAAAGCACTTTTGATCTGATAAACATATTTTCAGTTTCCTCCACAGTAAATAAATTTATGCTTTATTACAAATAAATATCAACTATTTGGGTAATATTTCGGATTCTTTTGTTTTCTTTTTCCGCCTCCTTTTTAGTCTTGTAATTCTTGTGTTTACTAAGATGAAAAAATTTAAAAGAAATGTATAAAAATATTAAATATGGTTTATACTTCTCTTAGCTTTAATGAATTATCGGCTTACACTAATAGGTCTCAAATGCAGCGAATGAAATGATCAGATATTTGTCTTCTCTTCAGGTGAGAAGTATACCACAGTTTGCATAGAAATAATTACTTTCTTTCATTGATGAGTGTGACTGTTTAAATAAAGCAAAGCCTCGTACAAGTAAACCGAAATAAAGGGAAACTAACTGAAATAACGTAAACAAAACACTCCAGCAGTTAAGCAAACTCATGCACGTAAATTCATGCGTAATCCTGCAACTGAAACTCGCACGAAATCTTGCAACTGCCTTGACCCATTCCTGCTCGTCACGACCAGCTTATCTGCCTTGACCCATTCCTACTAGTTACGACCAGCTTATTTGCCTTAACCCATTCCTGCTCATTACGACCAGCTTATCTGCTTTAACCCATTCCTGCTTGTTACGACCAGCTTATCTGCCTTAACCCATTCCTGCTCGTTACGACCAGATTATCCCAACGTCGTGGCCTATCATACACCGACTCATTCGACAATGTCCCCTTCATGATAAGCCCAATTAGTAATTGGGTTCATAATTAATTTGCTTAATATTTGGGTCTGGGCCGAGTTAGATCGGATAAACTCAAATAGAGTTAGGTTTTCTATTATATGCATTTTATAGTAGTTGAAAACCTAGAGTAAAAGAATAGAGAGCAAGAGTGAACTACCCTCATTTACATTGTATTTGTTACAGTTTTTTGATACTCAATAAAAATTCTCATTTAAATGTTGGACATAGTTCATTTATTGAAATAAACCAAGGTAAATCGTATATCTTTTTTTACTTTTCTGCTTTTATTATCGGGTGTGTTTTGGTTGTAGTTTTAACAAAATAAAATATTTATGGTTAAATTAACAAAAGTGGAATGTTTTTTTAACTTATCTTATTTGGGAATTGCAGCAGGGCCCAAAGCATTGAAGCAATGCTTCCAGAATAAAAACAACTGTAAATGGAAGGTGGTATTTTAATTAGCCAAAGGAGTAATTACATAAATGAGCATTTCTTTAATTTATTCAATTACTTTTTTAGTTTGTTCAAACTTTTGGACCTGACATTTGGAATTACTCGAAGCTGATATGTTTTCATGGAAAAGGTTTGATACTCCTCACAACCACTCTCCTTTAAGAACCTTTTATAACAAGTTTAAGTATTTAATGTCCCTTTTATTTATTTATTATTTTTTTTTTCTATTAGTTAGTGCTTATGAAGATGAATCCACATTTACATAGGCATTAAATTGTATGTATTAAACAATCATTTTCTCCTACCAACTTCAATTTCCGGGCACAATTGTCAGTCGAACTCGCCTAATCTTTAAGGCCATGGAATACTCTACAAGTCCAATGGATCTAGGTAGACTTGAACACAAGATTCTTAGGTATAATTAACTCCAATGGCTAAAGAGCTTGTCATCCGATCACAAGAGAAGAGGTGATATTTCAATTTTCTTTAAACCCAAATCTGTATTTCCGATGCTAGTAATACACTAAAGGGCAAAAAACTTTATATCTATGCTACAAGAAATTTGACTTTAATTTTGTCCACTAGTGCATTCTTGTCATCAAGAATCCATGTTTGAATTTAAAAAAAAAAAAAAATTAAGGATATTGCAAGTGTTGTTTGTCAACTTATGGAGTGCATATTATATTTGACGTATGCACTTCGCTTGATTAAGCACAATTGTGTTTGTTTTGTTGTTTGCACATGTTATAAGATATTGTCGTATGTTTACACATTGTCCTGTTCATAGGATCGTATTAAAAAAAAAAGGGGCACATTTCTTCTTATGTATAAACATTTTATCATTAGTTTTTCACAATACGGGTGTCTCACTCTTGTTATATTTGAAGATATATTATCTTCTATTCTTCATGAAACTTGCATGATAAATTTACTTTATAGGTGGCATTCTTTCCAAGTGTGGTCCAACAAAGGTTGTTAAAAAATGTGTATTGTTGAGATTTGTTTGAGCAAGAATCTATATTGTCATCTTCTTCCTTGCTCCTTTGAACCTGAATATTCTATTGAATAAATAGAAAAGATTGAGACATTATTTCCTTTTAGAGGATAAAAGAGCCTTAGAAGAAGATCTTAATACTGTGATATAACTCTTATTCTAAAAGAATTATTCCCCAGATACTTCAGCAAAACTCTTTCTCTATTTTTGCCCATCCCATTAAAAATAGCACATCCAAATTTTGTATCCAGTTATGCATGTTATTTGATAGTCATCTTATAATCATATTTGATTATAGGATTGAAATAAACGGGTCTTCTTAATTATATTAAATTCTTATTTCTTCCTATACTTTTTCTTTATAATTTTATTTACCCTATTATCTTTTTAATTTGTTTGTTGAGGAGCCTGGTTCAAAACTTGTTATATGATAGTGCGTCAGACCTAAGAATTAACTTTAGAGGGGCAAATTTAAAATAATATAATATAAAATAGGAGAAAAGTAGCTAAGTTGAGTCAAATATAGAAACGTTAATATAAATACAAGATGGTCCAAAAAAAAAAAAAAAGGCTAAACTAAACTAAACCAAAATAACGAAAAGAAGGACTGGGGTCCTAGCAGTCACGCATCAATTGTTGGGTCCATACATGATGATACTTGTTACTATATTTGATTATGTGACTCTAGTGAACTTCTTAAACGATAAATCTTGAAATAACATCAAACCTTTGGAGTGAATAACTGGACATCTAATTAAACGTGTTAAAAATGTGATGCTAAATTTATAAAACTTTTTTATTAAAAATACGGTTATAATTTAAATCTTGATTCCCAATTCTTGACATTTTGTAATATTTTATTAACTATTTCAAATGCTTTTTTTATATTTATAAAGTTTTCAAACTTATTTCAAATTAAGAAAGGGTTGATTTAAATAATTTTCTCATAAATCATAAAAGCTCATGCGTAATTTGGTATCTTTAATGCCCATAGAATTCCTTAAGGTCAATGTCTTTCTATTTCTCTCTCTTCATTTTTTGAGTCAAACATTATTGTATAACTTCTCTTTCTTTTTCTGAGTGCAGGCAATGTCAAAGCCAAGAGTTGCACCTTGGAATTGGAAGTACTTTAAGTTGATTAATGAATTTGGAATGGTTATTCCTGGAAGTGAAATTCCAGAGTGGTTCCAACTTCAGAGTGAGACTTCTTCAATTGAAATAGAAAGGCCCCCAGATTTTTATGATAACAAGATGATGGGATATGCTCTCTGCTGTGTTTTTTATGTCCATGAGCATCAGCCTACCTGTAGTGAAGATTATGACATGGGCACACATGGGATTTACTGCATAGTTACCAATATCAATCCAGTTGAAAAACCTGGGATTCGTTTTGAAGAGAATTCGGGCAATGCTGTGTCAGACCATCTTTGGCTATTGTATGTTTCGCCTGAAGAACTCAATCAAGAGTTTGTTGAACTTTCATTTATGGTCCAGGATTGGAGGTGAAGAAGTGTGGGATACATCCAGTATATGAGAAAGAGCTTGAAGAGTTAAAGCCGAGGGCCAAGAAATCCGGTAGCTCTAGTTTGTGGAATTTATATGAGTTGGATGAAGGTTTTCTCGAATCAACAGCGGATGTTGACTGTGATGGGGCAAAAGACAAAGATCTTATATATTTTTCATCTGATGATGAACTAGTGCAACCTAAAAGATTGAAGAGTTCATAAGTTGATGTGTGGTAATAACTTTTTATTAGGGGTTGTTGTGAGCTTTCTGTTTTTTGCATTTGGGTTTGCTATAGCATAAGCTTTATGATTGTGTCAATTTTACCTGTGTTTGGTTTGTTTCACGATATATCAACCTATTCATCATGAATTCAATTTAGTTCTCAATTTTCTTCTTAACAATTCCAACTCGTTTAATGTCTCCATGTTTACAACAGGAGTTGTGGCAATTTGATTATAAAACATTTATGCATCATATACATGTTTATAGAATTTATGAAATGTATAATTTACATGCCGAATTATGGGAATCTGAAATACCTATGTTGTGTAATATATTGTTGATAGTTTATATATTGATGATTGTGTAATATACCTATAACAATGCATCTCTGTTAGAAACCTAATAGTCACTAACGATGTTAATCATTAGTTTAAGGGTATGAATCTAAAATAAATGTAACCAAATGTATCAACTTGAGATTTCGCTACACCTCGGTTGGGAATATTTCGTTTACTCATATATCTCTCAATAAATTTCATGGGGCCCATAACTGACCAAATTTATCACAAGTTTGCAAGACATATGGTCAATTCAAAACGTTGATAAATTAGAAATTAACATAGAGATAAAAATAGAGAAATTTATTTATTTTTAAATTAAAGTAAATCAGATTAA